TAATCGTAATCGCGAATCGATTGAAAGTATATTTAGAGGTTAGTTCATGTTTTGGCAGTTTAGTGAGGGTTATAAATGCCTTTAGTTTTATACGACAGTTGTCAGTTTCTAATGGGCGTGGTTGGTCACGAATTATGTTATTAGGTGGCACAAATCGACGTATTTCTTACAGTAAAAATATTATATAGTCAGGTACTTCATATTACTAAGACACAAACTGCATATTTAATCTGTGCTTCTAGTGTTGATCGCGACGTATAGGGCCTTGCGTATCCTCTGTCCTCTAACATTTCAACCCTGTCCTTCAAATAGAAAATATGTCCTTTTTGGGAGTATACTTATAGGGGGAGGTAAATATTTTCGTCACTTTTTGGCTAGGACCTGTAGTTTAGACCTTTTCAAGTAGTCAACGAGGACTACTAGCTAAGCTGACCTCATAAAATATTATTAGTAAGTAGTGTTAATCACAAAACATTGCGTTTAGGATTTTATAAAAGGGCAGATTCTAGATCAAGGTCATTTACAAAATTTTCGTCAATTTTATAGATTCCAGATTTTCAAGTTGTTAAAGGACAGGACTAGTCCTAGGCTAAGCTGTCCTAAAAATCTTATTAGTGCTCAAATGCGTAACATTAGGTTTTCAGATTTTAAAATTGGACCATTCCAGGCATTTCTACCCTGTCCCTCGATTAAAAAATTATAGGTTTTTTCCGAGGTGTGCCTGGGCCTGGTACTTTTCTAGATGCTTTGGATTTTTATGCACGAAGGAAAAATGCTTTTTAAAATAGTTAGTTTTATAACGGGAGCAATTATAAATTTAAGTTTTACTTTATTGTACTGAATAAAACGTAACAATCGGACAAGGAAACTTATATTAATTCATAGTTCATGATGTCGTGATCCAAATAATTTAAAATGCTGATTTAATTTCCAAATGGTCACTTGATTCGAAACGAGAGCGACTTAATTACGACTAATGAACCGTAAAACTAAGATGTTCCCATTAATTATAAATCGCACAACCATTATAAATAACAGTAAATTAAGAAATTAACTGACAATAGTTATTTTAATATCCTTTTTTTTCGTAACTGTTTTAAGATAAATAATCGTGTAATTACTATTCATACAAATCATACATAAACTATAATTATGTAAAAAGAAAAAAAAAACATTAAAAATATGTAGAAAAAATAGCCAAAAGAATTTGACAGCGGTGGGATTCGAACCCACGCCCTTTCGGACTGGTGCCTAAAACCAGCGCCTTAGACCACTCGGCCACGCTGCCACTGACGTGACGGTTGAAATTATCAAACGATATGTGCGTTGTAGATGGCGTGACGTCAATGACCTTCAATTGTATGACGCATTTGAATTCCCGTTGTAATTAGTCTTTGACATACTCGAAGCTATACAGTACTCTATATTTTAATTATTTGAACTTGTAATAAACAACATAATTTAGATAGGATTAGATATGAATTTGATGATGATCCTATTGTTTTTTTATGATTAAGAACTTGGTGTTGGGTTAGATTTATACTCATTTTATTCTATCCATGTATCCATCTTTGTATTTTGAAAGTAAGAACACTGTCTTCATAGAAACTATTCATAGACGCGTTAACGAAGAGGATACGTAAATATTTGATTTCCTTCATATGATAAAACAAATCCACCCTATTAATTAAGAATTAAAAGTTAATTTCATCTCTCACTGCATCTACACATACGTTCCTTACCTTAATATAATGTTACAATCAGTGCCAAAATCTATTTCAGTTTGATTAGTGCATGGAAGGTTTCATAATGTTATTAATATTTTTTCAGAACTTAACATGGTTATCATCATTTTAGTACCTAGCATAGTTACGATCTAACATTCCTTATTGATGCGAGTGGCAAAAAATGGAACTAATAAAAATCGATACAAAATGACAGTACACCTAAAGATACTAGCGACAATCTTAGCTGCAACGTTAAGTTGGTACTGTTTAGAAGCAATCTGAAATCTTGAACTAGTGACATCTATTGGGTAATAGAAAGAAGTACTGTTTAGTTCTTTTCTGTGATGCCAATGGATTCTTTATACCTAGTTTAGTGCCAGTATTTAATATACTTCGAATTAAAATACGATTAAACGCTTTAGAAAAAGAAAGAATAGACCTAAAACAGTATCTTGCACTTTCAACCTCAGCACAGATTCGGCTTTAAGAAAATACTTGTTATATATTTTTTTATACAAGAATGATAGACGATAGATACAAGACGATACCCTACAAGATCTATAATTATCTACCAATTTAATGGTTTTCAGTCCTATTCGATCCTATTGCTTTATTTTTTTAACATTTAGGTAAAGGTAACATATGAGCTGAAAAACTTTGCATATAGTATCAAGGAAATTGGGGTACAGGGAAGTAGGTAATTTTAAAATAATAAAAACACATGATTGTTCATAATATCCTGTATATTTACCTAAGTGTAAAGGAGAATTATTTACAAGGTGGACATCGATAATTATGTATACGCTTATCCTAGCCTACCTCCTTACAAGTTACGAAAACATGAGATTTTAATAATAAGAATAAAAAACAAACAAAAAGAAATTAAAAAATGATTAATAATAACAGCTGCTAATTAGCCTCTTTGTTAGAACCAAAACGAAGATTTTTATTAAAAAAAAATCGTCATCAAAACTTTTTAGAACAAAACGTTTTTAATTTTTAAGACTAGCGATTGTTAATGGCCAGTTGATGACATTTGAGTAAGAAATAGGCAAGTTTGAATTTAGAATAGAGTTTATTTGATGTCATTTGTATTGAAATACACTGGCATGTAAGTTGGAATAATTTTATCGCCGTTCTTGTTTTACGGCGAAAATTAATGAACAATTTAACAAATCCCGATTATTTATTATAATTTTCGTAAAAGCTTAGGATTACAGTGTACATTTCAGCACCTTTTATTTATACGGATTACATGTAAAAGCGTTTTGCTATATTTATTTGCTTAGGCGTTATAAAAAATGACAATTACGATAAATCTTAATAATTCTCATACCAAATTATTAACTGATAAAACAATGTATCCACTAGGACATTTTGAATTATATCAAAAATTAAAATACATAAATTAATTAATATAATAGTTATTACAAATAAAATTCGATATTATAATTTATTAAAATAATTGCATTTCAACGCTTTCGATGTCAAAACAGCGGCTAACGCTAGGTAAGTATGGTCGAATAATATGTATTTGAAGCAAAATATGTATAAATAAGTTAATGTGATAGGTAAAAGGAAAAAATGCGTCCATTTTGTAAAAAAATACTATTTTTTTTATATTTATTTTTGTTTGCTGACTGAATTGTATAATTACTTTTTGACGAAAAGCACAAATAATTTTATTTCTAATGACTTATTTGTTATATTATTATCGTAAACATTAATTTGCTTGCAAAAGTGATGCAAGCCTTTTAATCTGTGGTAAATGATTGCCAGCAATGAACGCATTTCGTTAGACAATGCACCAAATACAGAACGAAACAAAGATCTTACATGAAATCTATTCTTACTTAAACGATGTAATACGTAGATTTATTAAGATCACAAGCTATCTATATATATAAAAGAAAGTTGTGTTAGTTACACTACTTATAACTCAAGAACGGCTACATCGATTTGGATGACAATTGGTGGGGAGGTAGATTAGAACCAGGAGACGGACATAGGATACTTTTTCATCGATTTTTTTTTACTTTTCACCGCAAATTACGAACGGGAACGGGAAAGAACGGGATAGCGCGTACGAAGTCGCGGGTTGAAGCTAGTTAATAATAAAAACTACCTTTTCAGGGGTAGCCTGGTTAACAGTCAAGTAAAACTTGAGAATATTGACATAACAAAATATCGTTCAGAGACAAAACCGATTGTTTCATAAAATAGTGCATTGTCTATTCAGCCTAATTACCTATCCAATAAAGACAATGAGACAATTAATATTAAACTTTAACACTATAGAACAGAATTTACTTTTGATTGCCTTTACATGGCAGATCGATTTATGAACTTATGATAAAACTATTGTTGTTGAAAAGTGAACTTTGACAATAAATAAATAGAGGTTAATTTTTTATTACAGTTAGTATTAGTCTCATTGTCTTAGAATGAACATAATTTTGTTTAGCGTGTGAAATAATTTAACTGTGTGCAATAAAGCAACCAATTCTATTACATAGGTACTTTAGTTAGCTGCAACTGAAACATAGAAGAGTAATATCTAGTTATATTTGGTTACACAATAACTATTACCGTATAAATTACTCAGTATTTTTACCTTCTAAAAGAATTTACAATTATAATGTACAGTTTCTTATACTAAAGGGTTTTGCCCTCTACATCTTAAATGTACCAATCCGATAGGAATGTATTTGGATATTTTATACGTAGATTTTTCTAGAAACCAACTGTTTTTCAGTAAAAAAAAATTAGTTAGAGCCTTTTTGGAAGCACCGATGTTAGTTGAGAGTAGATCGTTGTATTTCGGTGTTTTTTTTTGACATTTCTCACAATTTATTTATTTGGGTTTGCAACACTGGAGCACAGATGATATATGTATTTTCTGTAGTATGTATGGCTGTCAAATATTATTTTTCTTAATGACTACTACGGTGTTAGACCTACCCAGTAATTATTAGAAGCTTCTTCGTCAATTTAACAGTTAGTTTCTAAAAAAACCCGCAACAGGAGTTTCCCAATAACTAATTTTCTAATGAAATGTTTAAATTTCGACATTTTTCTTCATATATTTATACATTCAATGGCTCATTTATATCCAGTAACGCATCTACTACATAGAATAATTAAATAACTTCGTGAACTAAAGAAATTATTAGTTTTCTATTAACAATCTCGATAATTACAGATTTTAAATTTTATATTTAATTAAATAAATTAATTGACATAACGTGTTACTTAAGTTAAATTAATTAAATAACACTGGCGTTTAATTGCGTCTACATTAATATTTTGCGATGCGTAACTAGGCTTTTAAGCCGTTCTAAATGATTATTTGACTACTTGGCTTTTGGCATGGCGGTATTTGGGTAAAAATTGGTAATAACATGTTTCTATATAAGATATGGGTAAATGGGTACGGGTATATATTCTGATGTTTTTTTTTTTATAAAAAGGGGAGTAATAATATAATGTATAGCACGCAAATTTATTAATGTCGACGAATATCTCCTACAGAAATGAATTGGGAAATTGAAGATGGCACAAGCAAGTTAAAAAAATCGTTGCACAACCTAATTCCAGAAATTACAATCGTATAAAATGAGATTAAAACATCTATAACTATATTAAAAAACAAACTAAATAATAGAGATACGTCAATTCCTAAAATTAAACCCCCAAGGTGACAACAAAATAAATCTTAAATAAAAAAATTAGTTTTCTAAAATTAAAAAAAGTATTATAAAACCAAATGTTAAGTGTGTTATCGAAAATTCTGTTTTTTTTTCTACTAAATTATTCAATATAATCAGTAGCGAATATCCGTAAATAGATATACAAGATTTGTTCAGTAAAAAAATAAAAATTTCGATGACAAACTGGAAGCAAAATATTACAAAATCTACTTATTTTTTTATATAGAGAGTTCGATCTAAATACATACACACATACATAATTATATTACACATAGTAGTCAAGTGACGGACGTGTCCACAGATTATTTATCGAGACTTTATAGTCTGCGCGAAGAGAATTGGCAATATACAGTTGAAGGAAAGCGGATGGCACAAAATTCTTATTTTTTTTTTTACAGAAAACATACAAGATCGATCATTCAGAACATACGAACCACATTGGTCTTTCATAGAGACATCAATACACCAAAACCTCTGATAAACGCCATTTAAAATCATCACACAAATGATTAAAAAACTTGGTCTCAAAGATGATAATTTAATAACATTTTAACTTTAATCTTACTGCCTTCGTAGTGACAATAATCTGTATCTTTTGTACCTGGCTTGTACATCACTGTACAATCCGTACATTACAAATTTGTATCCATGTCAAACATTTATAGAATAATAAATTATTTCATCGATCGTATAATTTTAAAATAAATCACAGAACAATTTTAGCCACGTTCATAAATTAATTGAAATATTTTTTTTTATTTATATTTCCGCGCATTTCGCGTGGTATGGTGTGTAACTGTCAAAATTTAAAAATGGAATGGCTATTATGAAGACGGTTGACTGGTCAGTCAGGTCGTGACCGCCGACTAGTAAATACGTGGCGTTGGTTGCTCTGTGTCGTCTCACGCGTAAAATTCGCGGTTGTTGTGGCCCTTCCCGTACGATGCTGCTGCAGGGCTTCTCTTGGGCTCATCGAGCGCATAGGAGCCTTCGTCCTTCTTGCGCATGCGATACACTATGAACATCACTACCAGGATTGCGCATAGTAACCCTACTACTGCACCGCCAATCACGGCTGAAAACAGAAAAGACAAAATATTAGAGACATCAAAATAAATAAAAGTAATAAATGCCGGGCATTGATCACATCATCATCAAAACATAGGTACGAATCGAAACAATCAATGTTTTCTATTCGAAGAACAAAATAAACAAACTTTCCTTCCTCGTTTTCACTTGTAACAGTTACACTTAAAGTAAATTCAACGTAAAATCAAAAAGACCCCGAGGGACTTTTGTACGGTTAACACCAGTAGGTACCTAGTATGATTAATGAGGAAAGTTCCGGTGTATAATTTATTAAGGTAGTGTACATAGTTTAGTATAACAATCCTTACTAATGTTGTAAATGGGAAAGCAAGTTTGTTTGTTTGTTTGTTCCACTTTCACGCCGTAACTACTAAACTTGATTGCTTTGAATTTTTGCAGATGTAAATTTTGGAGTCCGGATTAAATAATACACTTTTTAACCCGGAAAAGTTTGATATTCCCGAGAGAAAACAAAAATATTGGTATAGATGGCGCTGTGTGTATTGGTATATGTCACATAGACTATTTTTTATCCTTTTGTGACGCGAGCAAAGCCGCGGGTAAAAGCTAGTAAAAATACATACCGGCGAGGATGCCAGGCTGGGCAAAGAAGCTGGTAGCGCGGTCCTCGGGCTTGGCGTTCATGATGACGACTTTGTCCGGCGCCCTCGACTCCTGATTCACGTTGCTGCCTGATGGCTCCTGGTCCTGAAACGTTAGAGCACTTCTTTATACGATTTGGAAAGGAAACTTGTTCTCATTTAGGTATTTAACTAGTCGAGTACCGGTTTTATAGACACAATTAAAGAACAATAGGTCGCGGTCACCGGTGACCGCTTGGTGTTTGACAGTTTAAAAGTCAATCTATCATAATCTCCACTTGAAATAGTTAGGAGAGAAGATTTAAGCTCATCCTCTTCTTTAACCAGTTTGAATAAAATTATCGATTATTATTAACTGAAAGAACAATTTGTTTTACGTTTCCGCACTGTTGAATATTTGTTTCAAGTAAACAAATGAACAATAACAAAAACAAAATTTTTATACTAAGATATTTTTAGAAAGCATTGCTAGCCAATTTCTCGCAAACAAAACAAATATAAATAATACTTAGTACTTTTAGGTAACTATGAAATTAGAGTATTTTTGATCAAAAGGTACATCACCAAAATAACAGAAGCTTCCTATAATACCCTTGCACAGGAGATGTTTAGAACTTTCCAGAATTTCTTCTATCCACGTCGACACCCAATGTCAAAATAATCATTCGACCGTTAGATAGTACGAAGAATGAATATTTCTCAACGAGTGTATAACCTCGACATATTTAATTTTCGTCAGCTATTTTCAGAACTATTTTCACGACAAAACTGAAGTACTTTCGTGTTTTATTTTAGATCTGATCCTATGAGTATGGTTATCGATGCTGGATTATAAAAATTGAATTTATTTAAGTTAATTATCTTACTAAACTATGAGTGTTTATTTTTATTTTTTATGAGTACCTAATAACCATATTTGAACATTACATATTTGTAATAGAGTTATTGAAAAAGTTTTCCCTTATTTTACATATGTTGATAGAGTCATCGAAGTCATAGCCTATATGATGTCGATGGAGGTACTGTAGGAATGAATTAATATTATACTATTATATAAAGCGGAAGAGTTTGTTTTTTTGTTTGTTCGTTTAAACGCGCTAATCTCCGTAACTAATACAAGACTGATTTGAATAAGTCTTTTTGTGTTGGATAGCGTATTTATCGAGGATGGCTATAGGCTATAAAACATCACGTTACGGCCAATAGGAGCTGAGATCACTGCACAGACGGGAATACAATGAACAATCATGGACACTTACAGATGCACTCTTTCTTCCCTCACTATCAAGGGATTATAGACAAAAACAGGACTGTAGTTATTTATCAGTTTATCAGAAATGGGTCTATAAGTACTTATTGTTCAATTGTGAAATATCTTGACTATTCACCTCTTGTCTATCGATATATGATACACAATAGAAAAGACATTATGTCTCGCGTAGATCTGCATTCCAACAGAAAAGAGAGGATAAGCGATAGTCTTCGGAAAATACAAAGAGTTTTATTATAATAATCCACAAATTGATAACGTGTAGGGATATTAGCATTATCATTCGTTCGTCCCACTATCCTGTGCTTGCCTAAAATGAACCAGGTCATCGTATGACATTCGCGATATCGAGGACAATTCCGGACTATGGTAAAACCGGCATTTTTTATATCAAATATCACTTATTCGTATTGTTGCTAAATCCAAAGCAGGAATATGCTTAAAATAAATCTGATTTTCGTTAATAGAGTTTGAGTTTACTAACTTCTAATGTAAAGAAAAGGTAACTTTTGTTAAGAACAGCACTATTATAGAATCAGCTGCTATCAATGAGAATTTATAAAAAAAAAACGTTCAATCGAACATCTCCCCTTTTGAAGCCGGTAAAAATTTTAAATTTATAATATTTTGTTAAACTTGTGACCAATTGGTCAACATTGAAAAATTAACTACATAGATTTAGCTGGATGACTCTGAGTCATGAAGGAGCTTTGAAATGATAAGAATGATCGCCCATCCACAAACCTATTTACCGAAATTGACCACGAATGAATTAAGATAACCGTAACATAATTATAACCTACTTCATCGATCCATCAACACAACTATCTACATGAGTAACGAGCTCATTATGTTTATATAACTTTGAGAATTGTCGCATAATAATTTTATACGCGTGTTCTATTGTTCTATTATTACGATAAAGGTGTTATTACAAAACTATACGTACGACTGAAGGCACGAGGTCCTCGCCAGAGATGCTGATGTCTGTCTGATCCGGGCGCGAGGGTTGCTCCTCCCCCGCGCCTCTTCCCTCCTCTGAAGTGCCTTCGCCTGGCTTGTTCCTTGTATTGGCTGAAATACATCAACAACAAAAAATTAGTTCACAGAACAATCATTTACAATTTTCCTTGTATTCGTCACAATAATCCACGATATGTTTATTCATAGTTTTATAGCTCAATGTATTAGAATAATGCGTACGGTATTGTTTTAATATTTCGAGTAACGCTCTATAATTTTTGTGAAAGGAATTGTTGTTGCATCGCTTGTAAATATTGGGCAAGTGAATGAATGGTTAGATCGTACTGATGTAATATTTGAATACGATGTTCATATATACATTGAACTGTTAATACAACGTAATGATTAATTAGATATAATAGAAATGACGAAGACTATTAGACGGTTAGTATTGTTAGTATTAAATGCCAAACCGAAACCAACACCATAGTTGATAAGGAGGATTTAAACCATGGAGCAAGAGACAGAAACGAAAGACCAGAGCAACTTCAGGAAAACTAGATTATCAATATTTGAAAGGGATTTGGATAAAATCGGATATGACTAACATCGCTCATACGAAAAGCGAAATACAGGAACAATATCAAAAAACGGGGACAGGAATCATACATGATACAGCATGAACAAAAGCAAAGGTAGAATTAAAAGTAAACTTCTAATAAAACATCAAAAATACCAATGATATGGACAATATTGCTAAGCTAATGGTTCCATGAGATGAAATACTGATACTTTCAGGGCTATATTACCTTGGACATGCTAACTAGAACTATGAAAAAGGAACACTAGAAATGGGTTCTAATGGCTGCATGAGAGTAACGAAATCATGCGATATTAAGAAAAAAAGTAAGGAAGTATTTTTCCATAAAATTTATAAAGTATGCTACGAAAAAACTTACCAAATTCCTCGGACGGTTATAAAACGATTGACAATAATATTATGAATGAATTAATAAATTATTTAAAACAACGAGTAAGATTGCACGCGCGTACGACAGTCCGGCTGTCCCAATAGTAACTGGCGTGTGGTTAAAACAATTAGAAATAACTGCAGATAACAATAAAACTGTTAATTCAAGGTTACGTTAGTTATTGCGAAGTGATGAATCCGCTTATAATCATGAACCACGTTAGGTTAATGCAATTATTAGTAGTAATTTATCACTCTGTGGTTATCCTGTTAAATGTCCTGTTAATGTTATATTATATTAAGGATGGGCGTATAATATACATCTATGTATATAGTACGAGAAATCGTCACTAATTGTAATATAACAAATTCATGATTCACTTCTCTGCTTCATAAGTTGGGTTAAGTCAACAATTTTAAAGATAAATCAACTATGTTCTTTTTAAAATGACGATTTCTCATACGAAAACAAAAATAAAACAATGCAAAAAAAACTGGCATGCTTCAGCCACTACTCACGAATGAGCACATCGATATTCCTGGGATCTGTTGGTAATTGGAGCGGGATGTTCACTTTGGTTACGACAGGAGGCTCCGTCTGTTCGGGGATGTCTATGTCGTCTGGCTCCGATTTCTCGGGCGTAATGGGAGTTTCGATAATGGTGCGTTCTGTCTCTTCACTGCCAATGGTAGTGGATCCATAGTCTTCGTCATCGGGAGGTCCGTTGGGCTCGTCACCTGATCCTCGTCCGTCCTCGTCGTCAGGGCCGGGGCCGGCTCCCCACCCGGAGCCCGAACTCTCGTCTGTGTCTAGGCCCGAACCATCATCAGCAGCATCGATGAACAGGTCGTGGTCAGGCGGCGAGTGGACGTCGTTCTGTATTTGAACTACTGTTTCTTCTGTCGGTTTTTCTACGGCAGCGTCCTGGAATACACAGAAATATTCGCGTTAGATATGTTTGATTTCATTAGTTATTTTACTGAGATGAGATAAAGAAACATTATTTGTATTTTTGACATTAATAGAATTGGATTGCGAGGAAAACACTATTAAATTTTATTTTCTCCGTAAAACAACTAAAAAACAATCGTAACAAATGTAAAAACTATAAAACTACGCAATGAAATCTGTTGCGTCGTAATGGTGAACATCGGAAAACATCGTAAAAAATATGTCACGACACAATCGGCGTAGTATTGTTAAGGAATAAAATGTCACCTGTTTTTTAACGACACAATCGATGGTGATTCACAAGATAGGGTTGGATACAGGTTCACGCGAACACTACATCATATTGATCAAGTTGCACCCTATCAGATGACGTGACCAACGACCTATTTCGAGAAAAATCTTCCATTGACGCACAGTTTTACAAACTGACCTAATTTACAGAATAATCATCTTAGAATAGCCACAAAAACTACCGAGGTACCGTAATTTTAGTTTGATATATAAAGTCTTAGGAGAAAAGATATTTGAAGATAAAATGTCCCACAATAACAAAAAAATAATTGGTCTGTTTGACCTACGTCACTATAAACGAGCCGCCGACGACAGTGCTTGCGATATACGATTACAAAAACAAACACTCACCTGGGGGTATTTTTGTCGAGGTACTAAATACTAATTTTAGGCCAGATTTAGATTTTATAGATAATTTTGATAGCAGATTGTCTGCTGTGCACTGTTGGCGTAAATTGTGGCTGCAGGAACGACGATCGATAGGCTTTTTGGGGGGTGTAGCGAGGGAGGGGAGCCAGTTGGTTTGTCGGGAACATTCGGGTTCCCCCGGCCGCCGGTAGATGGTTCATGAGGCTTTCATTCAGGGGTGAATTCAAACAGTTTTCAGGAGAGTCGAGCAAGCAGTTACAGTTTTGTCCGCTAGATGTCATTTTATCGAACTTTCTTGTTCACGAAAGCTTTGTCGGACACTTTTAAAATTGTACATGGTTTTTGTTTCACCATTAACTAATTTTATTTTACTACGTAAATAATTTATTAATAAACCAGTATTATCAGTAGCGTGAGGTTTAAAAGGTTTTCCCCAAATAAGTTCGTTACGTATTAAGCATACAAACCTACATTAAAAATAGCGTAGTCGATAAAAACTTTAAATTGAAACTAACATTATTAGCACAAAAAATTCACAACTATTCCACACGAATTACTTTATTTGAACACCAAAATAAATTCATACATAACATATCAATCAAACGCACCAGTAACGCTTGAAGGTAGATCAAAGTGAATTGTTTCAACTGCCGAAAACAGTAGGCTGTATAAATAAATACCTGTGCCCTTTCATGTGTTGCACGTCAGATGTCGTGAATGACATAAGTAATTTCTCTTCTTGACAGCTGTGGAACAAAATTGTGACTTGCGTCGCGTCCCGTCGCGGTTTACATGTGTGTAGTAACATTTTTGATGTAATTATTTTGATAGACTGCCTCTTTGGTCGTTTGGTCGCGAGTGCCACTTCCGGGCATGGGGTCTTAGTTTCGATTCTCAGGTCGAGCAAAATACGGGTTTTTAGAAAAAAATGTCATAAGGTAGCACGAAGTCTGGAATTGTTCCCGGTATATGGCAAGGTATATCCCCGGAGGGGTAGGCAGAGGTGTACATTATGGGTCTTAATGCCACTGTATAATGTAACACCTACTTTTCACTATTGTTATGCGTCCCATGTAAAATGGGACCAAACCCGGGTCGGGCAAAGTATTACTGGGTTTCTAAAAGATTCTCAGTAGTAGCACGGAGTCTGGAATAGTGCCCGGTATATGGCAATAGGCTCAAAATAATGTTTTAGAAAATGTATTACTTTTCAAATAGGTACCTATATTACGTTTCAAATAAGTGTAATATCCAATTTTTATGTACGAGCGCCTTTATTTATAAGTAACTATAACTATTTGCCTAACGCTTCAAGTTTTTGTATTTTCCGTTGTTATATTTAAATTACGTTAGTAAAGGATTTTCGAGAATTGATCATCAAATCAGGAAAATGGCTATGATTGAAAAACAATTAATTAAAATAAAATTTGCCTCGTGTAAAATTTCTACGTACCTATTGTTGTCCACGAGTAAGGCGGACATCTTGGGAATTTTCCCTGTTGTTTGTTTTAAAGTAGACACTAATCACTTTTTAATAACTTTCTACGACAGATAATAAACTTACCAAATAAATAATTTACAATATTACCGTAATATTTTCTTTTTGTTTTACGCGTATCTTGCGTAACAAACGTTAACGTCTTTGATAATCATCGTTGAAATACTAACTTACTATGACGTCATAGTATTTTTGTGTCAAATGACATTATATCACCAAAAACATAACCTAAAAACAACTCGAACCAAAAACTTTTTACGAAATAAAGATGGCGGACGCTCAAAAATTTTCTAGAATAATACGAAAATTAAATAGATCGTAATTTTTTTTGATATTTTATTATAGGTATTGAAAAGATGAAATAATTTACTTTTAAACTAAGTAAAATAACAAATTGTTGAAGAGTTGGACCACAGACACTTGGGAATGGTATGGTAATGGTATTTTTTTTTTAAGGGGGGAAAATCATCGAATGGCTGCTCCCGCCTGGGTGAGGCGGAAGGGAGTGTCAGACTCTTACTGACTAAAAACCACCCCGTTCCTTCTCCTGCACGTCGAGCCGGAGCCCCGGTTACCCGTTAGGTTCTCCGCGACATGGTAATGGTATACATGCACAAGTAGGTATAGCCAGATGGCAAAAAACACATGTATTATTTTTACATGTTTTTTTTTATGAAAATTCTGACTTACTTGAGAACGACTGTACCGTGAAGTAACATTACTATTAAAAATAAACGAGCCCCCAACATTCAGGCATTCTGTGTGATTACCAGGGTTTTATCGTAAATCCCATCCGGGTGTAATGAGAAATATTATTTGTTGTCCGGTTTTAGGGTTGCCATCACCGGATATGTTTGGGGTTGCCACCTTTGTTTCGTTCAAATTAACCGGGCACTGAGTTTGTATGAGATTTTTTAGCTAATGATGGATGTGTAAATGTTGTGTTTTTTGTTTTATTTTGAATTTAAATGAGGGATTATGATAATGATTTTACTCATGATTCATGCAGCCAGGTATTTTCAAAATGGAACGTAATTACGTTCAATATAATTGACTGACTCTTTTTTGGAAATCGCTCGCACAACTACCTCTGGATTTGTGGCTGGTAGTATGTCAAAAAGCATGATTAAAGGGTTGCATTCGAAGCTGAACGAACCAATTGGAAACAACGATTAGCTGTCTAATATAGACCTAATATTATTACCCTAGAATTGAGTAAGAAAAGTGGTTTGAACAAGGTAGAACTAAGGCAAATTCTCTGCAACCGTTGGTCATTGATAACCCGCATGGCAGTTGAGGTGTTAAGACGAATTAGCGACATTACAAACATGGATAAATATGATAAGTTCGGGTCAAGTGGATATTCTCATTACACCTTTATTTAGACAACCCTATCAAGGCCATAGTGTGGGCGTTTAGACCTGCCGTATATTGTGAATGTTTATGACTATGATATACCAGTATCCGCTAATGTACCCGTCGTACTACATTAGTCAAAGAAAACCGTTCGGAAAATCAAATTTATGATATTTTAGAACATAAAGTAAGGATATTAGTTTCTTGTTTTGGATGGACGGAAATTATTTTGTTTTCGGGTATTGATTTATGGAATATTTTATTTTGGGTTTAATAAATATACCAAAGGTGGAAGAATGTTTACCTATACTGTCGACAGTGAAATACTGTAGGTATCTACCTCTATTTAAATATGCGTTGTTTTCGGAAAACGTCAAGATGTTTCCAAAATCCCCGGATTCTGCACAGTACATACCTATTATTTACTTTATTTTACTATATGTAATTAAAAATTATAAAATCCTTTTAATCAAACCAAAAACCCATTTCTTAGACATTGTATAACATACTTTTTTTTAAAGAGTAACGAATGGAGTTTCTTGCTCGTTCTTCTGCATTCGAATCTACATATTGGAATGAGAACCTAGCTTCACTGACGGACTGACTGACAGACTATTATTTATTTTGTATTTGTTGACCTTTCAAATGTACCAAATTATGATTTAATTGAAATAAATGCTTTGACTTTTTTTTTTAAAGTTGCACTCACCACCACGCAACATACGAAGCGTGCATTTTAAATTTTTTATGTAATTCATAAATACAATATCACGTATAACATTCCCAAAGGAGATATGGGGAGAAAAGTAGGATGTAAATGCCATACATATTAATTTCATTGTAATAGGGGTGAGTGTATTGTAAAACAACAAGGGTTTGGACGCTTGTAATCAGTGGACCAAAATGCACTGCAAAGTAAGCATTTAATTATGTAGTTTTTTTATGGCATAAGCTGGTAAACGAGCAGACGGATCACCTGATGGTAAGCAATCGGCGTCGCTCATGGACACCTGGAACACCAGAGGCGTTACAAGTGCGTTACCGGCTTTTTGGGGATTAGGAGTTTGAGGATCGTTGGAGATTCAGGGATTGGGGAGATTGGGGAAGGGGAGGGTAATTGGGCCTCCGGTAACCTCACTCACACGACGAAACACAACGGAAGCGTTGCTTCACGTCGGTTTTCTGTGAGGCCGTGGTATCACTCCGGTTGGGCCGGCCCATTCGTGCATGGCATGGCTCTCCCACACACAAAATATAATATCACTGTGTGAAAAGTTACTATTTGTAAAATGTTTTCTAGATTCCAAACGTTACAGTTTTATTAGTGACCAAGATCTATTCACGTACCAACAATTCGGAAAGACTTCATAACAAAATATATTGTACAAGTTCAGACTACAATATTGCCAATAAACATTCTACCCTAAATATTATTGTTCCGTTTAATGCTGTCGTAGTAAAGGGATTAAAAAATAAGCATAGTGAAAAGATGAAAACCAGATAGGACCATAAAAAGGAATCATAAAAGACAAATTTCTTACATAATTACCATAAGAAAACATACAGGGGGATCTTTTTACGACAACAGAAAAAATCTCGAAGCGAATTACACTATCAGAGCGGGAATAACACTGCGACATTAAGCGGTACATAAAAATGATAACAGCCTGTACTTCCTACTGATAAATCTTTCGTCTCTTTCTAGCTTAGAGAGTTTAGTATACATCCATCCTTGTCCCCCAAGCGGGTACTGATCGCAAAATGACGATAACGAATATGAATGTAAATGAGTTTAAAAGGTGTACTTGAACGAAGTAAGTTCGTGTTATCTCTGGCTGAACTCCAAGTTTCAGGACATGTTTAGAATTAAGTTTAGACTGTCCTAGTTGTTGTAAATGCGACAGGTTAGCTTGAGGGTCTTCAATCGTTTTTCGCTTACAAAGATCAAGCTAGCAAAGATTGAAGAGGTTATACGTTAATTTGTACAAGTATGTTTAGCAAAATAATTACTCATCCAAAATTGAATACTTAGTACAAAAAATACAAGAATGTGTCCATCGGTTTCACTAATGGCCTTCACACTTCAAAAACGATTAATCTCCACACCACCATCATCTCCCTTAGATCCCCCAAACAACTAATCCCATTATAGACCATTTTCTACTCCAAGGACCTCAAAAACGACAGTTCTCTCACAAAAACCATATCTAAAACCCCCAGCCTAAAATAACCCCTTTCACAAAAACTGCTTTCCAACAATCCTCTGAATTTTATAGATTAATCACATGAATAAAGGGCGACATTTTACAAAGCCACCCCTTCGTACCTGTTCCCGGGGTACGTAGGGATGGGCGCAGGAAATCCCGGGACCCAACGTAACAGCCCTAATGACTGGCAACTTCACATTATGCAGTCATATAAATACGATACCTGGTTGCCAGGCGGTTATGATGTGTGTTGTACTTAACATACATACTATTTGTTTATTATTTAATAAGCTAAAAAGAGTTTTTCTTTGTTTAGAGTCCCTAAAGATGACAAAGCCATCTTCTCAGACTGAAAAGGAATAATCATTGATCATCACGCTTGTTCACGACAGATTGGTGTTTTCAAACGTTAAAATCAAGTCAAAGTCAAAGCAATTATTTCAATTAATCCACATACAGGTACTTTTAAAACGTGTCAAAAAACATTCTAACTACACTATAACAAACACAAAATTAAAGAAAAGCCCCATAAAGTAACTCCTTCCAACAAGAACACGAGCAAATGTGAAGAAAGTGGAGTAATTACACGCACGCGCTCGCGTAACAAACTTCGTAAAGTTCACATTACGTACATGAGGTACCAGATAATCACTCCTCGAGGGAAACTTAGCTCTTAAGTCATTTTGCATGTGACCTTGTGATTTTGAACGGTTTGCCTTTAAATTTGTATGTGATATCACAATTTTGGTTCTGACTCTTCTAATTTCATCTTCTTTTTTAATAAAAACTGGTGGTTTTGTTAATGTTAACATTACCGTGTGGTGTTAATTTATTAAGACTAATTTTATGTTCTTCTTCCTGATCTTTGTTTACGTACCGTGGTACCTTTTGTTTTCTCCCTCATCAGCCATCTTTAAGAAAGAGGTATAGCCATACTAAGCTCCCATCATTAACCTATTGAACCTTCCAAAGATTTAAAGGCTAAATCCCATTAAGTTCCTAAACACGAAGGAGAAAATTGTACACTTCATTACACATCGGACCTCAAAAGTAAAACGGGTAAAGGATGCTAAAGGGTCGTGATGACCCATTGTGTAGATGCAAGTTCTTCGTAATTAGAGGTGTGTGCCGGGGCGCAAAATGCGCCATCCCTGCCAAATGTGGGTACCAAAGAGGTATTAGAATATTTGTGCAATTTGCTTTGATGTTTGGCTTCCTAAAGAGAAGTTTTTTAATAACATTTTTAGTTAAATACGGAAAGATTGCCTTTCAATGATTCAAATGCGTGTAAGCGTAACACATAGCGATAACAAAATTTACAGGCGTTTTCATCTCCATAACGCACAACCCATAGGTTAGCACCCATTCCTAATTTAGGTATCCTAATAAAGAACGGTAAGTATGTCACTCTTTCATTATACACGGTTCGATGTGCCAACGAGGCCCTAAAACCGGCTTAAAAAGTTAAACAACGCCACTTTGCGAGGGGCCTTTAAATATGCGCTGAATTTCGAAGTAGGCGCAAAAGGGGAACTGTTTAGAATGTACAAAGTTTAATGGAAAACCGTTGCGCTAAGGGAATATTAAGGGGATAATGGTTTGGTTGACGTCAAGGCCCTTATCTGAGGACGTTAGGTCTAATCGATGAAGTTCCTGTTACTAGGACAAGTGATTAACCTTGTTTATATGACAGTAAAGTTGTTTTACCTGAGGTCGACAATGTCCAGGTACTTTGGAACAACAATCAGGCTAATGGTAAAAAGGATTAACAAACATTTAGACGACAGCGTACATTGTGGGGTATTTTTGTGTTATCTAAGTTCTAATTTGCATTGAGCTTCCGTGGTAGATAACGCCCCACATTTTCTACGAATTATAGCCGCGCAGGTCACCTGGCGGTAACATTAATGCCTGATTACATTCATCGCGTTGTTTGGACTATACTAAATAGCTCGCAATGTTAGTTTGATCAGAAATGCAAACAATTCCTAATCAACATTGTGGGATTGGAAATTCCAGTTCCATCGAGAAAATTCATGGAACTTGTATTGTTCCTGAGTAGGAATGAATAAATGCAAGGCGAGAGTTAACATCCAGAAGCAAAATTAACTTGCAACATGTTAAGAAGTGATCGTCTACAAATAAACTAGTTCACACCAGTTTACAACACTGCCAGGAAAATCTAACTCTATTTAAAGTCTTAGTGTTGCCATGTTGTAGTAAGTTCTCGTCTTCATTTAGTACTACTTTATTTAGTTCGGATTAAATTAAATAATGTACGATTTAAAATGGAAATGTAGCTGGTAACCTTTAATGTGTGAGCATTAAATAAAATACAACTTCACATGGTATAAACATAAAATGTTCTGCAAGAAGCAGTGTTGCCAACACTACAAACATGTCAGGAAAGAATCGATAGTCCGGAATAAACTAGTTGACACCAGTTTATAGGGTTGTCAAGAACGGCTCGAAACTTTTTCCTTTTGTCTCAATTTTCTTCTGAACTCCGATATGTCAAATGTGAAAGTTTTGTAGCACTTTATTGGAGATTTGCTTGACTA